GGTTGCTTTAAAGTCAAGCTTCAGTTTAAGATTCACCCTGTAATAGATGTAAAACATGTGATGGAGCATTACTAACCTGACTCAGATGGTTTGTTTCACCAAACCATCTAGGAGAGCTCCATTGGAAGCCATTTGGAAAAGTATTTCAAAAAGACTTGGCAGGTGATTGGATCAATCTGTCTATCACCTTCTATCATGGGCCACTTCTGATTGGTGAACAATGACTGGTACATGTGGAGCACAGCACTTCTGTTGGTGTGGATGACTGACACACAAGAAGAACAACACAAAAAAAACTAAAAAAAATCGCAGGCTTTGCGATTTGATAATTGCATCATTTCAAATTGCGAATTCGATTTAAAGTCGATTAATCGTTCAGCCCTAATTCTGTATATTCTTTTTCTGGTTAAGCTGACAAAATAGACTCTTTGATGATACTTCAATTTAGATCTTTGACCAGTAAATATGATTTGTGAGTATACGCTTGCATTCTGGAAAGGGGCACATACTTCTAAAACAATTAGAAACATGATTATATTTGTTCCTCATCACAATAGTTAACATAATGAGCTGCAGGAATTAAGCCCAACTCACCCCCAGGATTTTCAATGAGTAATATATTCTGTAAAAGACCACCAACCTAACACCATCCTGTTGTGGTTTAAAAAAACTGATATTTTGAGGAAAACACTTTTATTACTGATATTGAATGGATAGAAGTCAAATCCAGGAAATAAGATATAGCAGTTGCGCACTGGGCTTTAGTAATACTATAGAGGAGCAGGATTTAAAATGTGGGAGGAAAGATCAACAGATTATGTAGCAAACAACTCTAAAAGAGACATTAAAGACTTCTTGAAGACTTCTTGAATGATGTAGAGTTTATGGAGGTGAAATACAGTTGATAACTCCATCGAGGAGTCACTCCCTTTAAGAACATCAAACACACATTTTCACACTCACATGTAATAGCATAGAGGGATGGATAAGTCTGAGAGGGAGAGTATAAAGCAACTCAATCTCCCTCTAAAATAACAAGCTATGATCTCCCTATGTGCAAGTCTACACTGCTCTTAACTGCCCCCCCCACACCTCATACACACACACAAAATCAGAGATATACACACAAACACACTCATTCCCTACAAACACAAGAGTAATTGCTCATTTCCCCTTGTTACCTAACAGTGGAACTGGACCAATTAGTGAGTTTGAGGGCCGATTTAGAATAAGATAAATAAACTCAGAGACCAACCGCACACTCCCACACACACACTGACACACACACACACACCGCGGAGAGGAGAAGAAGGGAATGTGGGACAGCAGGAGAGATGCCGCAACAAATTAAGATAAGAGAATCACAGATTTTTCTTTTGCCTTGCTGATAAAAATCATCAAACACAAAAAAACAACCTCCCCTTCAAACCCCCCACCACCCCCACACACACATACACCCACACCCACACCCACACACACACAACACACACACACTCTCTCTCTCTCTCTCTCTCTCTCTCTCACACACACACACACACAGACAGACACTCTCTCACACACACACACACACACACACACACACACACACACACACACACACACACACACACACACACACACACACACACACACACACGAGTACAGTTTCCCATTTCGTCCTGAAGTATAAAAGGTTACAATAGCGGAGAGCCTGTCCAAACCCCACCAGGATCTGTGGAAGAGTCCAGCACGCCCCGCTGTGCTGTAGAGGCTGGATTAGCCTCCAAGCACATACTGTAGGCTGCCGAGGTCACAGGGATTTGCTTGGGAACCGTCCACATTACAAACCACATCCACACAACGCTGTGAAAGCATATGACATCATTCACCCGTGTCATTGGAGAGCTCTTCAAAGTGAGCACAACTGCTGTAGTGGCCGTGAGGGCAATCCAGGCGATGCATGATTCACTCTATTTCCTAGTTTCTTTTTGCACATTGGGATGACCCCATTGCAAACAGGCATTATGGAATACTAATCAACGAAAAACAGTTGTATTGCAACTCTGAAGCAAACACAGGTTGACTTTGCCTCTGAATTGAACTATTCAGAGGCAAAAGTGCTTCGAGCAACTCAGAGCAGAGCAGGTAGAGATTTATGACAATAATCGTTTCCGTGGGCAACACATGAAATGAGCTGTCATTTGAGACGCTTTGAAAGACCTTCTCTTTGATATCAGATTAGAGAGGAAACACAGTGCCCAAGGGTGTGTGTCTGCCAGGTTGAGTGTGCGTGTGTGTTAATAGGCCTATGTGATGAATGAGAACACTGCATACAGTATGCCAGCAGGGATTGGTGCTGTTTTATGTGTAGCTGCAAGCAAGGTTATTTGTCATAGGAGATGGCTTTCCAGTGACACAATAAGTACCTCAGTGTCGCAAAAGCTAGCTTGAAGCAAATGAAGTAGTCAGCTGTCCCCCTGATAGACATATTCACAGCAAATATTGAACTAGACAGGAACCCTGTTAGCTCACTATGTAAAGCGGTCCTATGTACTAAGTCTTTACAGGTCTGCTGCTATCGACTAGAGGTAAAACTTTTTTTTTAACTAGAGCACACACCAGCATGCCAAGGGTGTCCTGTCCTACACCACTACTTCCGGTGCGCTCAATTGGACCACACCAATTTTCCAACTTAATTTTGCACTCAATTACACATCTGTAAAGTTTTGTGTCTGCATCTTGCACGTCGAGGACGCTATAACAGTCTCAAAATCTGTCCTCAGACCGACATATAAACACCTGGCAAATAACTTAAAACTGCTTCTGTGGTAGTTCCCGCTAGTAGGTGTCTCAAGGACCACATTTTGCCATGATGACACACACAGACTCACAAAGTCCAAAAACTATTTCAGCCATGCTGCCACAGCTGGTAATCATGTTGGAGATAATTGATATGCTCATGACCTGGCTGGTGTAATATCCTGTACATAGGCTGTTTCTAAGCTTGTCAGGTGTTATGTTCACACATCTCACACTTCCTTCAGTGGTCATCAGTGAGTGCATGTGTTTTTAAGAGGAAAAGAGTGTCTGGGTCCGGTCTGGGACTGGAGTTGAGCAGCGATTAGGTGATGCTTTGTGGTAGCGGTGAGTGTGGCAAACTTCTAACAGTGTTTTGGCCGAGGCCAGGAAACCACAGCTAGCACATTACCAGACTGAGGAAAACCAAGGAGTGCGTTGGTGTGTATGTGTGTGCGCAAAGACCACCCAGACTGCTGAGGTTTTTTTTCCTTCAAGCAAGTGGAGGTGAAGCAAGAGTGTAAGAAAAAATAGAGAAGGATAATGAAGAAAAGGGGTGAAAACCGATGAGGAGAAAGGTGAGAATAAAAAATTGGTGACAAAAAAAATCTGTGCTGGAAAATTATGAATTCAGTATAGGTTAAGCAAACACACAAACACACTGTATACACACAAACACCCTTCCCCTGTATGGTGGCTGTGTCTGTAACAGTCGTGTGCGTGTCATTTAGCCATTATGTTGATGGCATGATTCCTATCAGGAGCGACCGGGGGTCACACTGTAAACATCATGTCTAATTGGAAGAGAGAAAGAGACGGAGAGAAGGGGGGAGAGAGAGAGAAAATGAAATAATGGAGTGAGGAGGATTTAGTAGGAAAACATGAACAAAAAATAAGAATGGCAGAGAGCAGCAGCTATCAGCTACAGCATCAGTGTCCTGGCTCCAGACGTCTATGTTAGCCCCCCCGCCTCAACTACATCCCCCTCCC